GCTCCCATTCTTCACTATCTGGGAAGGCGTGGTCCCACCTGTTCACAGGAGTGAACCCAGCTGTAGGGCCCGGAGGCCACTCTCTTTGCCTCCCACACAGCCCCGTACAGCCCCGCTGAGGGTTGGGGGTTGTAATTATGCCGTGTAGACCCACTGAGGGCCCCCATCCAGTTGGGGAAAAGTCACCTGTTGGTGGGATGGGGTCAGTCCATGTGGGCAGGGTGCCCCCTGATGGGGCAGCGATGGCCTCCCAGGCTCCCCGACCACAGCCTCCAGGCTGGACCCTTGCTTCTCTGACCCTCCACCTTGCTCCACCAGCAAGTGTTGTTCAATATTTCAGAAAATTGCTGTGGGCTTGAAAAGGCTTCTAGGCAGAGTCACTCTAATTAGTATAGTGGCTTCCCTGTGAAAACTGTTTCCCAGGCCTTAAAGAACCTCTGCGTGAGGGTCCCTGGGCCATTTCAGCTGTGAGGCTGGTTCCACCTGGTTTTTCAGTCAGAAATGTTGCCCTGGCAGCAGCTCCCAGACATGAGGGAGGTGTAAGGAGCACGTGCTCACCTCCCGCGTCACCAGCTCAGGTCAGGAGGGGGAAAGGGGCCCCCCTATGCCTTTCGGGGCCTCCCACAACCCAATTCAACCCAACGGTATAACGGAGCCCCCACTCTCTCCAAGCTTCTGGCCACTGTGCCTTGGCTGCTGTCTGTCCATTCCCATGCTAACTTATTCAACAGGTATTGTTCCAACATCCACTATGCACCAGGCCGAGGCCTCTGCTGGGAGGCGGTGGTGCACCCTGAGGACCCCAACAAAGGAGCAAGTGTACACGGGAGTGTCAAGAAGCAACGTGGACAGTAGGATANGTTTCCCAGGCCTTAAAGAACCTCTGCGTGAGGGTCCCTGGGCCATTTCAGCTGTGAGGCTAGTTCCACCTGGTTTTTCAGTCAGAAATGTTGCCCTGGCAGCAGCTCCCAGACATGAGGGAGGTGTAAGGAGCACATGCTCACCTCCCGCGTCACCAGCTCAGGTCAGGAGGGGGAAAAGGGCCCCCTATGCCTTTCGGGGCCTCCCACAACCCAATTCAACCCAACGGTATAATGGAGCCCCCGCTCTCTCCAAGCTTCTGGCCACTGTGCCTTGGCTGCTGTCTGTCCGTTCCCATGCTAACTTATTCAACAGGTATTGTTCCAACATCCACTATGCACCAGGCCGAGGCCTCTGCTGGGAGGCGGTGGTGCACCCTGAAGACCCCAACAAAGGAGCAAGTGTACACGGGAGTGTCAAGAAGCAACGTGGACAGTAGGATAAGGGGAGGGAGTGGCGAGGTGCAGAGGGTGAGTCCATTAGACATGGTGTCAGGGAGGTGGTATCTCAGAAGAGATCTGGGGGGAGCCAGGGAGAGTCCTATGAATATCTGGGAGAGGAAAATTCCAGGTTGAGGGAAGAGGAGGCATGCAGATCCTGAGACGGGAATGAGCTTGGCCTGCTCAAGGAGCACAAGAAGGCTGGAGTGGCAGCAGGGACGCTGACCAGGGGTCCAGCACATAGTGTGACCTTCTAACCTCTGATAAGTGGCCCTTGTCCATAGAGCAGTCACTGATCAATGTTTTCTGTAGCTATTTTGTGGGGCACTGGGTCCCATTCCTGCCTACTAGAGCAGTAGTCCTCAAGTGGGGGTGATTTTGCTCCCTATGGGACATTGGGCAAGTCTGGAGACATTTTTGGTTGTCACAACTTACGTGTGTGTGTGTGTGTGTGTGTGTGTGTGCACACGTGTGCGCGTGTGGTGGTGGTGGGGTGTTCCTGGCATCTAGTGGGTAGAGGCCAGGAACCTGCTAAACATCCTACAATGCACAGGACAGACAAAGAATTATCTCACCCCAAATGCCAACTGAGCTGAGGTTGAGAA